GCGACCGGCATTCAAAGCGACACACTCCATCTGCTAGTACCACAGACACAGACGCGGCAAGTCAAAACACAGAGCCCCAACGGATTGGCTCGGTATACGAAGAAACAGTGCCCCTAAAGGGCGTTGAGACAGACACATCGGGTGTGAACTTCCCTCGAGCAAACTCGGACGACGTGGCGAATCCGTCCATGAGCTCGTCAGCCAGCACAGCGGCCGTTTCCACACCAGTCTTCCAGTCAAGCAGACTTAATTCATCCCCGAGCGAGACCAAATCCATAGGAGCTGGCTCGTCTCATACCCTACAAGCGGAACGAATATCCACAGAGTCGTCAAATTCCGGAACACGACCTGCGGAAATCAAGGAGTCGAACAACCCCAAAAGAAGTACTGGCAGATCGATTGCGGAAATAAATTTCACAATTGGACCGCCCATCACCAAGGCCACTCTATCGGACCTCGACGAGGCGCGCATTGTACGAAACTCGAAACTGCGCCATGACATCAACTTCGACCCCGATTTGCATTTTCGACCCAACATCCTGGGCGATAGGGGTAAGACGAGGCAGGAGCACTCACGGGCGTTTTGGAGGGCTCTGACAGAACAGCTGGGCATGTTTGTCGACGAGAACAGACGGTCCGAGTTTATGGAGCGCTATGCGCACAGCGATGAGTGGTGTCTGCCCCTGCTCTTGCGAACCATCAAGGACATTGTGGAGACGCTCGTGCCGGTGCAAGACCGCAGTCTTATGGAGGAGGCGCTGAATGTAAATTTGCTGATGCAGCAATTCTACAAAGGCATGCTGAATCTGGAAGGAATGGCCGAGTGGTTAGCAGGTGTGCTTAAGACGCATTGTGCCCCCATGCGTGACGGGGAGGTTAACAACATGTTGGCACGTTTCCGCCTTGGAAGTCGCGAAGGCAACGTGGAACAACTGGTAATGGGTATGTGCAAGCTTCTGAGTGTGCTTGAGCATATGAAACTGGACTTGGCCAACCACTATCTTCGCTGGATGCGGCCTGCTTTCATCACGGAGACGGTTCATTACGAGCAGCGCAGAGTCAGCAAGGAGATTGCAACATGCAGGCTGGACATTGGACGGTCAAAGTTATGGTATCATCGCGCACAGCTCAAGTACGCCCATGACTGCACTGAAGATTTTGGCGACATGTCCATCTTTTTCCGTGCCGTTGCGCGCCTCGTGCGACCTTCTCGCGCACAGAAAGACGATGCGATTCCGCCCGAGACCTTCCACTACGACAAGGACAGGCTGCTACGCATTCGCAATGACGTTCTCGACGCTGTGAACATTGTCATCTGCATGCGTGTCTACGAACACGTCCTACGCATTCTCGGCGAGCGCCAAAGCGAGATGGAGACAAACAACTTGTACTTATCCTTGGTCGCCATCCTCCAGTCGACGTCCACCAATGTCGTTCAAGCCAAGCGCTGGGCGGAGGCTGTCCCGCACATGGCCGTTGAGATCTTCCGCCATGCTAAAGCCCCAGCCTATATGCTCGCCATGGTCGAGTCCGCACTTGGCGAAGTCCTTTCTAACCCCCACGACGAACTCTTCCTGGAAGTGGAAGCCGACTATCACCGGCGTCTTTTAATGGACCTCTGCAACCGCGTTCGGGAATACAAGGGGATGAGCAGCTGGAGCCTGTACACAGCCGCCGTAGAGAAAAGGATACCCACCAGCGGCAATATGCCCCGCGACTTTTATGAATGCCTGCGAGACGGTATGGACAGTGGCGTCAGTGATCTGGCCGTGAGGTTGGCACACGTCGGGATTCTGCACTGGTGGGTCTGGGCGGACCTGGCGTATCTCGGCGAGTGATACTTTGTTCTCCTCTTTCGATACCCAGTTTTTGCTTACTGGGGTCTGTCTGCGAATTTCGGTCACTCGTTTTGGTCGAAACAAATATGCGTATATCTCATGAGCAATCTTCAACACCAGTTACATTCGAAGCAGTAGCGAGGAAGACTAAGAACCCTTGTGATTGCCAAAAGGCCACTTCAAGGTCAAAGTCATGTTTTGGAAAGCAAGACCAGGGGAAGGGCTGTCTCATGGGCACCTTGGCTCATCCTGGTCGTTGTGTGCCACCTGTTTCCATCCTGACAAGCATGGCCAACCTGGCGTGGACATACAGGAACCAGGGCCGATGGGAGGAGGCAGAGGGGCTTGGGGTGCAGGTGATGGAGACTCGCAAGACGAAGCTTGGGGCGGACCATCCCGACACGCTGACAAGCATGGCCAACCTAGCGTCGACATACAGAGACCAGGGCCGGTGGGAGGAGGCAGAGACGCTTTTTATGCAGGTGATGGAGACTTTCAAGACGAAGCTTGGGGCGGACCATCCCTCCACGCTGGCAAGCATGGCCAACCTGGCGTCGACATTTTGGAAGCAGGGCCAATGGGAGGAGGCAGAGACGCTTTTTGTGCAGGTGATTGAGACTCGCAAGACGAAGCTTGGGGCGGACCATCCCGACACGCTATCAAGCATAGCCAACCTGGCGTCGACATACAGAGACCAGGGGCGGTGGGAGGAGGCAGCGACGCTTGAGGTGCAGGTGATGGAGACGAGCAAGACGAAGCTTGGGGCGGACCATCCCGACACGCTGGCAAGCATGGCCAACCTGGCGTCGACATTTTGGAAGCAGGGCCAATGGGAGGAGGGAGAGACGCTTTTTATGCAGGTGATGGAGACTCGCAAGACGAAGCTTGGGGCGGACCATCCCGACACGCTATCAAGCATGGCCAACCTGGCGTCGACATACAGAGACCAGGGCCGGTGGGAGGAGGCAGCGACGCTTTTTATGCAGGTGATAGAGACTCGCAAGACGAAGCTTGGGGCGGACCATCCCGACACGCTGGCAAGCATGGCCAACCTGGCGTCGATATTTTGGAAGCAGGGCCAATGGGAGGAGGCAGAGACGCTTTTTATGCAGGTAATGGAGACTCGCAAGACGAAGCTTGGGGCAGACCATCCCGACACGCTGACAAGCATGGCCAACCTAGCGTCGACATATAGAGACCAGGGCCGGTGGGAGGAGGCAGCGACGCTTGAGGTGCAGGTGATGGAGACGAGCAAGACGAAGCTTGGGGCGGACCATCCCGACACGCTGACGAGCATGAACAACCTGGCGTCGACATTTTGGAAGCAGGGCCAATGGGAGGAGGCAGAGACGCTTTTTATGCAGGTGATGGAGACTCGCAAGACGAAGCTTGGGGCGGACCATCCCGACACGCTGACGAGCATGAACAACCTCGCCCACACTTTGCAGCATATGGAAATGGCATTGGAAGCTACTCAATTAATGCGCGAATGCGTTCGCCTTAGCCAACGTAAGCTGGGCTTGAATCACCCTCACACGAAGGCTTCTGTTTCGACTTTAGACGCCTGGGTTAGCCGGCTCCAAATTTAATAATGGCTTTGCTGAGATTAACTTTGTTTCTTATCTTAGCAACTATCCCATAGCTTTCGTTTTAGTCTAGGTCACTGGTGTAGTATTCATCGGTTCTGAAGCTAGTGCCAATGAGGCAGTCCCGACGGGTGCAAGGCTCAGCCGTGGTTGGTTACAGTATGTACTGAATCACGTGCTTCTCGGAGGGGTAAAGTGAGGCAGATGGTGGGGTGTATATAGTAGACTAGAGCGGAAGGCTTTGCAAATGTCACGGCTACCTTGTACTAGTGGGTCCGACTCCTGTTCGCACTGTATATCTCCACTGCGTCCAGAAATAGCTGTTCTTATAATTCATTGTGTCACAGGAAAGCGGACACTCGTTTTGGACCTCACTGTACCGGCTGTTACGATCTAATGTATGACAATTTCAAAGACTGCAATAACGGTGGCAAGGGCGGCACCAAGCGCAAAGGCTGTCTTTGGTTCGAATACCGCCCGAACTGGATGGAAGATATTTGATGAGGGGCCCTGCCTTTCACACGAGATATCTAGGGCCATGGTTGGACGCGCGCTGCTAGCATGATTTATGCTGTGAGCACCTACGGTGAGAGGAACGGGTTTGGGGACCATAGAATAGACGACGGTAGGATAGACGGTTGAGAATGGTGAGGCAAGGTACATGAGAAATTTCACACGCGTTCTCTAGCTAGTCATTAAGTCAGGAAGAAGCGCCTCCGTGTGTCGCTCCTTGATTTGTGCCCACCTCCAGTGAAGGCGCTCGCTGCACTCGGCATCTCCATCTCTGTCCTATCAAGGCCGTACTCCACACAACCGGAGAGCGAGGGCACGCACCGCTTTCCTCCGTAACGGCCTCTGGATGTCTCAAACAGGTGCCTGCTCCCTCGTTAGGAATTGGTCTAGCCACAACATCATGTTCTCACCTATTCTAAGGGAGTCGGGGAAGCCCGTAGTGTTTGTATTTTGTGTTGGTGGCATGGGCACGAAGAAGACGCACGATACGGCCGCCTTCGTGGAGACTTGGCTTCTAGTACCCCTTATGGACTGTCTGTAGGATGAACATCCTGCGTACAGTGTGATTGGTGGTGTCACTGAGAGGCAAACCAATAGCAGGTACGGTTTGTGCCGCTCGTTCACGGACGCGGAGCATTCGTCGGCTCCGTCTACAAGGGCCGTCCACTTTTGTCCACCTTTGCTTCCATCATCAACAGTCGGGCTAGGGTGCTTCTCACGGTTTCCATATTCGGAGGGGTGTGGTTGATGCCATTGGTTTGGCATACAGTTGTGGCCGACTGATGCGTTGCCCACCACTCATGAAGGTGTAGCTGATCACCTTGGCAGAAACTGAGTACGAAGTGGCCGTGATCGACTACGCTTGTTCTTGGTGAGTGGGGAAGTTCAAGGCCCCATGGCAAGAACCCGTCAGAAGTGGATGTAATAGACAGCACTCCTTTTTGGTGTATTGAAGAGCTCCAGGTACCCCTGAATAGCGCTGTCGACTACATCCACTTTTGACCGAGTCCTTGCCAGGGTACCCAGACGTCCCCGCATCGCTCGACAGACAAAGCCTCCTTGAGATGAGAGACATGCAGACGCAATGTCAATTCTGGCAAGATGTGTGGGATTATTGTTTCACATGCTGCGGTAATGAGCAAAATCTCACACTTCATGTTTATCCGCGTTTGTGACGTTGCCTATTCCTCGCGCCAAGCTTTCTTCACAAGCATCCGTATTCACCTTGGACATCGCCTGTTATCATGCAGGGTAGGCCATTGCAACCCCCCAAGTTAGCCCTGTCTACGGAGTAGCCTGCTCTGGATGCTGTTTTGTGACGTATTACAGCGCACTCTTTTATACAGATGCTCGAGTTTCCCTTCAATGGTACTGAAGATGTTCCTAAAGATAGGAGCAGTGTTTTCATTCTGGGCGGTTAGGGTACAAGCGGTTCCTGGCGCAAGACCGTACCAAGGCTGGGATGGCAACCTCTAAGGCGGGACGGTAAGCTAGCGCGCCGAATCTGCAAGGCAAATACATCGTCACCAACATAACATCACATTGGGAAACAAGATTACCATACCCTCTCGTCTCAAGTCTTGTCTGATAGTCAAGTGTGGCTGCCACACCGAAAGGTCATCAATTATGGGTAGCCTACCCCGAAAAGGAGCCCCCAGGTAACGCCGTCACACCCACTCAGATCTATGGAGTAACCATTTATCGTCGTCTATTGTGGCGGCGTCACAGCAAGCTTGGCGAAATGGTATGTCCAATCAAGAATTGTGTGATTATGTACGGAGTACCTCCGTATCACACCCACTTGATTGGCGGCATGCTTCCAAAACAAACGAACTTCTGAGCTACCTACCCTGTAGTTAGCCAGTCACGAACGTAAAACTTGATACGTTACGCAGGCCTCGTCATCCTACGTCACCAACTGCTACGCGCTGTCCCCAAGTGCGGGGTAAGGGATCCCGCGAACCCCTGTGTCGCTACTCCCGAACAGTCATTCCCCCGGACAAGAACAAAGCTAAAAGAAAATGGAGTTGATAGGCTCCGATGAACTTCTGGACATTTTTGAGCCTTTTCTACCGTCCTCGGAACAGTACGTTATTCTCAATGCGGCGCAAAGAGTTCTAGAAGACTGTTTCTATGAATTTGCATCAGTACACATACCATCACTTCTACGTCACCGAGGTTGGCAGTGTTCGGTTGCTGTCGAACTGACAGAATGGACACGAATATTTCAGAAACTGGCATCTACCCTGCCAAGAGAATCAAGGTCATGTTTGCAGACAATCTTGAGAGACCTATCAGATCTGCGGAACATAGCAGTACATCGGCGCCCGATCACCAGAAGTCGCGCCGACCAGCTGCTGCGCTCAGTAATGCTGATGGCTCAACTACTTCAAAATCAACTGGGGAACCAAAGTGATTGGGGGACGACTAAGGTGCAGGATTTCCGAAGGAAGCTCTTAGAGTTAGGGCATGAAACAAAATTCGGCCTCACTGCCACGTCGCAACCACTGGCAAGCGAAGCGCACAGTACACCAAAGAACAACACCAGAGTTGAGGGTTGGGAACACCCGGCTGACAAGTTTGGGAATAGCTTTTCATTCGATGTTACTTTGTTCATGGAGGCGGTTCGAGACAGCGCAAGCAGACCAGAAGTCTTTTTTTTTGGGGAGGAAATTGAGGAGGGCAAGCTCATCATCATCAAACATGTGGGCTCCTATTCAAGGTACTCTACTTGGTCACCAGAAGAATTGGAATTAAGGCATAGACTTCATCATCTAGGACAGTAGTTCCCCAACGACAAGTGTAAAAGATTAAATAACACCTCTTGGAAGATGTCAGGCAACAACTCAGGAGGAAGCAGCTGACAAATGCCTTGCGAGCAGCTCTTCCACGTGTCTATCCATAACGGTATTGAAATAGGAACAGAGAACTCGAGCCACGGACGCTTCACAAAATAGGGTATAAGGTACTCACCTAAGTTCATGGACAAAGATTACTGCTAGTACACTCACCTTAGCACTGACTTCGTCACCCAATAGGAACACTGGGCGGGCTCGCCCATGTCTTGCATAAGCGATAGAAAAGTACTTCGGCAAAAATCCGCAGATGCCATGGGGTCCTTGCACTCTTTCTTTCCACAACAGCTGGATGGGGTCTTCGCTATGCGATTTAAATCGATGCAGCGGGATCCTCTGTAACGGCAAAGAGAGTTTCAATTTCGAAATCCAAATTGTCTTGGTTTCCAGTAACTAATATGTTGCATCTCTCGTGCAGTGCCCACAATTCAAATGCTAGAAGTTCCCACGTGATGGTTCCATTGGCGTATCTCTTGGAAAGTCCCTTGTATTCAGTTCTCTGAAAAGCTCACTCATGAGCTCCGAGATTCTGATTGAAATCAGCAAGCCTGCCTTTCTAGAAAACGCCGTACGCGCTCACCTATCCCAATCCGTGTCAATGGAAGCAGGCCAGAGCGTTTTGCCACAACGATCCAAAAACTCAGTGACAACCTCCTGCATTGCTTCACTGTGTGACTCGGATATCTCTGCCGCGTTGATTTGATCGTCAGTCACGTAGTCGCGCCTAAATGTGTCGGCAGAGGTGACAATGGCATGGGCTTCATCTTTTGTCGGACACAATTGCCGAAGATAACCAGAAATCCGGGAGGAGTACATCTCGAGATGATTAGAGAAGGGTTTGAGTGTTGCTCTGCGTCGCGTATCATCAAAGTTTGTGAGACAGTCGCGAGAGAACTCAGTGTGCATGCGCTGAAAATATAACTGGCTTGCCCCATGCGCAGTATGTTGGTTTTGCCGCTTGTGCACCATCAGAAAACGCGGAGCCAAGCCCTGAGCGTGCCGCCCCGTACTTGATGTTCCTCTCACTCCTGCTTCTCGCGGCTTGGGTAGTGATACCTGGCGTCTTTGCTGCCTGCATAGCGTGTGTCAGCTGACGCTTTATTAGAAGCAATAGCGTCGCGAGCGATGCGCCCAATCAGCCTTAGTGCCCTCAGTATCTGGGTTCAGTTATGGTGTGTAACTGGGGCGTAGATTCTCTAACCAGGCTCGCTGTCCACACGCGCATTAAGCAGGGGTCGGCGGATTCCAACATCAGTTGGTGATGATGCGCTGTCCGAATACTCTCATAAGGAGACATGTTGGCAATGGAGAACGAAACGATGAGCTGCTATTCCAGGACATCTAGCGCGTTGCGTCTTTATAAAAGAGGAAAAACAAAGTTATTCATAGAAGCAATTACTAAGTTGAGAGCCGGCTAACCCAGTCGTCTAAAGTAGAGACAGAAGCCTTCATACGCCAGGTCTGGCCCAGACCATCCAGTGTAGAACGCCAACGTGTGCCAGCCTTATGGTCAGATCACTGACGCCCACATCCATGCGGTCTCGCAAGCATTCGTAGAGGTCCGGGGGCACACCAGCGGGTATTCTTTTCTCTACGGCGGCTGTGTATAGGCTCCAGCTGTCCGTCCCCTTGTATTCCCGAACGCGGTCTCAAAGGTCCTTTGATAAACGCCGGTGATAACCGGTTTCCACCTCCACAAAGAGTTCGTCGTGGGGTTTGGCCAGGGCTTTTCCAAGTGTGAGGTTGATGATATGACCATCCGCAAGTTGTGTGTCTATTGAAGACCTCAAATCTCATCTTGGAGGACATCTTCTCGCTTCCTACTGCTCAACTACTCTCAAAGCGCTTGTCATTGTGCTTCTCTGCCCAGTAGGCGTCAAATTGGGCCTTCTTCCGCTTCAGGAATTCGCTCTTGTCATCAAGCGTTGCTTGATCCAGCATTGACTCGCCTCGACCCTCCTTGTGGAGGCACTTCCAGTAAACCTCATCGACATCGAAGCTGCTTCGTGCTGCAAGGTTGAACCAGAAACGCCCGCTGTCCCATGATTCCCGTATCCGAGCCGAAAGAGTTGGCTGTCCCTCTGCGGGGGGAAATTTGGCCTCGGCACGCTCCATGGCACGGATAAACTGGTCTTTGCGCGGCTCAAAAGCATCGACGAATTCCTGCTTTGAGTCGCTTATCATGATGGCTGGATCCCGAAGTATGAGCCACGAGGGCAGATCATAGGCGTACTGGGCCGGCATGGCATTGGTAAACTCGAGATCCAGCAAGGCAGTGATGCGCATTGTCTTGGGGTCGGCAAGCATGTTGGACGGCCGCATATCGTCGCAAAAGAGACGGAATGGCCCAGCTTCGTCAATGTTGCCGTAGACGGGCACTAGTTTGGCAAAGCAATGGCGTGCGACGCACCGACTCCAGGTGATGTTATCATCGTCGAAACCTATGTTGCGATGCGTCTCGAGATTTACCTGCATGCATCGCGCGCGGTCTGAAAAGTAGTCACCCGCCCGACTGAAGGGTTCCGTAGCCGTGTAGCTCTCAGCGGGGAAACCAGCGAAGCCAACGACCTCATTCATGTCGTAAGTCAGTGGTGGTCCGGTGACTTTGCCCTCGCCTGTCTCGCTGTCCATAGAGATAGCACCGATGCGCGGGAATTCCAGGCGCGAGAGCTGCAGTTGAAATCCAGCGATCTGTTCGTAGACAAAGTCAAGCTTTGCATTGTTGATGCCTGGATTTAGAACGAGAAGATCTTCGTTAATGTCCGAGGGCTTTCTAAGAAGCTCGCCAAGGTCCTCCCCTTCCATGAACTCTTCGATTATAAAAGGTCCCATGTGACACGGGCTTTCTTCAGTTAAACCCCAGTGATGAACTTGTGGAATGGGGATGTCCGTGTGGCGGGAAATGTATTTCAGAACCATGACCTCGTTCTTGACCTTCTGCTCTAGCCACGATTTGTACACTTTTCCCGGTATGGGAAAACGAATCAGTGCACGCTCGCCGGTCTCGCCATTCTGGACAGCGATGCTGATGTTGAATGAGCCAATGAAGTACCCGAGGAACTTTCCGGCCTGTTTCCAACCGAGGCGGCTGTCAACAAAGGATACGATATCCTCCTTAGCTCGGGTGAACTGGTCGAGGAAAGCCATTTTGGCATCTTGGGCATTTCTCTGCGCTATCGCGTCGAAGCTTGTACCCATCGTCCTGGCTTGGGCGTGTCGAATGGAGGTTCTTGGGATGTATTGTGTAAGGAGCGAGAACGGCTGTACAAAGCACCAGCTGCCGGGACTACCCTTGTATATCCACAAATAAGTGTGCGAGTCTTAGGCGTCCATTTTAACAAGGCGGAAAAAAGAAAGTATAAGACGAAGCCAGCCGCTGTTGGTTGGTTGGGGGGGGGGTGGGGGGGTCAGTGCGTGTTGGGTGAGGCGGGGTGAGATGAAGTCACAAGAGAGACCCATTTTAAAACTCCTGATAGGGCCACGGTGGTACCTAGAGAGTAGTGCCCCTCTTCCAACCGCCAAAACGGCCCGTTTCATGTCAGCAGCAGAGGTTGCAGCAGTATGTCACATGTGACAGCGAATGTGGATGTATATTTGCTTCTCTCCTTCTAAGCACTCCCGGATCCTTTTCGTTGCTCACCAACAGCCTTGTGAAGAGTTTGACAGACCCCTTGTCTCCTCCACACCGTCCCCATATAAACATAGCGTCTGGCCAGCTTCCTTTTTTACAGTTACGATTAGCACGGCCCGAAGACTTTAGTTCTTGATATGGTATACCTTGATCGGTTGAGCATTCTCAGATGCCCTTGCCACGCTTTCCCTGAGAGCTTCTTCCGGTCGATGCCTGCTATTTTGTTTGCTATTGCAAGTTCATGTTGCGAAGCGAGTCGAGTAGGGTGCGTGTCCACCAGTGTCTCCTTCTGAATGGCCACCACATGCTCCAGCAACTCGACCGCCTCCGTTATTGCGCATGGACCGGTGTGCGCGGACAGTGCGCTACGTATTTGGATCCACGTATAATTTTCTCTCGGTATGTATAGTACACCATGCTATCCGTAGATGCTATGTATGGTCATTATGTTTCTTCCCATGCCACAACGCGGCAATGGTTCGGCCATGCCGTTGCATTCGACACGTACCTCGCTCGTACCCTCGACTCGATGACGCGCGTTACGTGAACAGCACCACTACTAATACCGCACTCACAGTCTCAGTCGGTCAGACGGTTGGCATAACGGATGATGTCGTTCCGTTACGCTCTTCTGCGTCCACTGACCGAGCCCAAGCTACTGTTGTCCTGGGGTCATTATACCCTCCTCTATACCACATAGGACAGCATCTCGGCCATACAGTGGGAGAAGGGGCACTCAGGCTTCGTAACTAAAACTCCAATGAGCAAGGGCCGCCAAGCTACACAGCCTCTTTCTAGTTCGACACCTCACGTTGGAAATGGGGTGTGATCGAATCTCTGATGCTAAAGGGGCAACACTACACTCAAGGCTCCATTTTGATATCTATCACCTTAGTCACACCTGAGTCTACAATCCATAATATCCGGACTGGTTCAGTATAGGCAAACGGCTTGAACCCTACGGTGTGGTCCGCTCTCTACTTGTGAGGCAGCCGGGTTGGCGGCTTTTTTTTTTTTTTTTTTTTTCTTTTTTTTTTCAATTTTATATTCCTCCCTTTATGTTTTTTCTTTCCCTCCTATGCGCCTACGCATAGTCCCCAGCGGAATAACCCCGACCTAACCGATCCCCCGCGAGACCCGCACCCCGCCTCACTCCGCTCGCCAACCACCCTTTCCCCCACCAGAGTCGACCCGCCTCTGACCCGCTTCCGCTCAACTAAAGTAGCCGCTCAGAAGCTGGCATACTCCCCTTCCTTTAAAGCCAGGTATTAAATCTAAGCGCCGGCCTATGTTAGCGCTTCGCGCCTATTATGCCAGGTTGTACGGAGGACCACGCCAAAAGTCCTCGGTCGGCGCTAATTATGCATGTCGATGTAAATAGTTAGATTTGGTGTGAAATTGCTAGCTAGGTTCCCCGCCCCTCGACATACTCATTTCCACCCTCTAGCTCAATAACCTGTTGGACGTGCCTTGGGATCCGTTCAATCCACCGCTGTATCTGCTCTTGCGGAAGGTCGGCCCAAGCCTGTAGCCACTTCGCGATAGCTTCCTTTCTTGTAGAGGGGGCGCCTTTCTTCGTAGTGTATCTCTTCATCCACGGCCAGGCTGGTTCGATCATATTAAGGTCCGGCGAGTTACCAGGCCATGGAAGGCGGCGAACACCTTCCCGATCGAAAGCTTGTTGTTGAAGATAATGTGAGTGTGCCGGAGCCTTATCCTCTTGAACCCACATACCGGGTCGATCAACCTCGCATTCCTTCGCGAAAGGAAGTAACTTAGGCATCAAGATAATCTTCTGATACCTCCACCAATCGATACCACCTTTACCGCCTCTCACGAGCTTACCGGTCTTCTTCGTGAAGCGCCACGTAGGCTTCTTCCCTGGTGTTTTGCCGTCTCGAAGCCTCATACGATAAAGACCTTGCTCAACTTCCCATATCTTCCTCGCGTCCTCTTCAAGCAACTCATTCAAGGCCGTGAGCTCTTTCTCAGAGGCTTTTTTCTCTTGAGCAGTCTCTGGGCACCAACAGTGGCAGGGACCCTTCTTATCGTAAGAAAAAGAGCCCCAGAACATAAACTCAGAAGACCCTTTCCACCGCTCACGAATACAGCTTCTATTGACCTTCTCGTCAACCGTCCGCCATAGCCGATAACCTCCACGGCGATGTAATAATACCACAGTGGTCTCGTCAGACCAGATCACCTTCTTCCAATCTTCCAAGGTCCAATCCTTCCTCTGAAGGCACCACTCAAGCCGCTCTTTCCTCATCTTCTGCGTCAGACCAGGCTTCCTCGTCGGCTTCGTCTTCCGGAAGCCAGCCTGCTGAAGTATTCGTAGGACCGTCCGTGCCGATATATCGATACCGAAGTGGCTAAGATCGCCAGCGAGATCAGCGCAGGTTTTCTCTCTTCCATAACGATCGCGGCGTACAAGATTTATGATGTGTTCACGAGCCGCGGCTTGCTTAGGCGGGCGACCGGATCGAGGAGCGTCAGCGAGGAGGGCGTCGTTTAGGACAATCGGTCGGGCAGCAGGGTCGAAGCCACGGGCGATAGCACGCGCGAAAATATCGTTGATCGTGTTCTTCTTGATGCCCGTGAGGGTTATGACCTCGGCGGTGGTCTTATTCGATGCTTTAAGGGTCACAATCATAGCCCCCGTGGCAATATCTGTGTACGGCATCTTCACGAGAGGCTTCAAAATAATCAATGAGGTAAGTACTGTGGTATCAGGCAAAAAGTATGTTAGCTCGCCCCACACAACAGCAAGGGTCAAAGGAGTCACTTTTCCCGTTCGTGAGGTATTTCCACCTACGAGTAATACCAATATAACGCGTTTAACTTCAAATATATATTTACTATGGCTTCAACTCAGGATCTCGAGCTACAGCTACGGCAGCTTCAAGAGCAGCAGCAGCTCCTTCTTTAGCAGCAAGAACGGCTCCAAGAGCAGCTTTCACAGCAGCTTCAACAACAGCATCAAGAGCTCCTCCAAGCACTACGAACGCCCTCACCACAACCTTCCGGCCGTGCAAGCAATACAAGCCGCGATACCCGTATTTCGATGTTAGGCTGTTATAGATGCTAATGGAATGCATACTCGATTCTAGATAGATAGAATACTGGAATTTGCTGCAGGCTACATCGTGACCCGGGAAAGTGACCTCTTTGACCCTTGCTGTTGTGTGGGGCGAGCTAACATACTTTTTGCCTGATACCACAGTAGTTTGTTATCCTACGGACAGCTCGTTGTAATGTGGGGTAAGGTGCTAGGGAAGATTCGCACCAAATTTTGGTGTATAATTTCCCTCGGCAGGGCTAATCCCTGACCCTTTAGTGTCTTGGCGACCGAAGACTTTTGGCGTGGTCCTCCGTACATCAAAGGTAATTCAACATTATTTTATCATCACGTCGATGGTAAGGCAATTCAAGCGGGCCAACACGACGGTGGTCAGAGCTGACATGAATTTCTTTTTGCCACCTCGTCCTTACGTATTCTACATACCTACCTTGTAGCCATCTTGGCTACCTTTGGAGGTGCTTCGGATCCATTCTCCAACTCCTGCTTCGACTGCAAAACACATGAATTGGTGGCCATGTGGCATTGCTTAGTGATGAACACCCACCTTTGTCAGGACGATTCTGAGTGTAAATTCATGCTTCTCAAAGACTGTTGTGAGTTTTTATCCCCCTCATCTAGATTTTGCCACTGCAATCTCACCTGTTCTCAGCGACTTACCATGCTTGCCCGGCCATTGAGTGTAGCGATGCTTGAGAATGGGCGCTCTGGGGAATGAGCGGTCAGCTTGCAACTTTTAGTGTCTTCACACCTAGCAGTCATAATCATGGAAA